AAATCCAGATGCTTCATTTTAACCTTTAAACGTTACAGATATCTGCTTTAAAAAGTGAAGTAGCTACTGCTAAAAGGGAACCAGTAGTACAGAGATGCATTTTAGTGACCTGTTAAGAGATTAAAAACAGGTTTAGGTATTGTTTTTAAAACTTTAATAACACACTCAAGGATTTTCAAGCAACATGTACCAAAAAAAAAAAAGAAAAATAGGGTCTTTATTTGGTAGTTTGCATGATTTATTTGTAGCCAAGCACTGGAGCACATTCGTGACAGGCTTCTACTCAGCAGTGCAATAAGAAGGGAAGTTTTTCATTACAGTAACACAGAATCAAGATGAACACACTTAAGTTTCACACAGCTTAACTCGTACTCCTTGGCTGAGCACTGAAGGGGGAACGGATGTTAGGTGTTGTTTTGTACATCATTATAAAATGAATACAATTTACACAAGGACAAGCCCACAAAAAATTAAAAATCAGCTTTTACATTCAATATTACAGCAACATTAAAAAAAAAAATACTGACATTAGGCAGGACTGCAGTGACACAGGAGATGGTATCGTGATACTGAAGGTTATAAATATTGGATTCTCAGGCATGTCAGACTTCAGGTAAACGCTGAGATGAGCTACATTGTTGAAACAGGATTAAACTGGAATCGTATTATAAGACAGCCTTTTGTCTCATTACAGAAACATTAACACTGATAATAAGCAGAAAGCCCTCATTTTTGCTTTGAATTAATGTAGACTACCAGCCTGATATTAAAAGCCCTACTCACTTCACAGTTAAAAAAAAAACAAAAATACCAGTACTCAAACACACAATCAAATGCATGAGCTGTTGTAAGCCTACATTTCCAAAAAAGCACATAATAGGAGAATATGACAGTACCTGATTAGATTTGGTGCACTTTGAAAGTGAACCTCTTGTAATGTTCGCCATTAGTCTGCACGCTCACAGAAATATGATTCAATTTTGACTCTGAAGGCAAACACTGTGAGCCCACGCTGACGGACGACACAAGACCGCCAACGTTACAGAAACCGTTACGAGAACACAGGGGCCATAATGAGAACTTTATGCATCCCATAAAAAGAGAAATATTTTATCCGATTCGTGCAACTGAATTTGTTGCTTGAGAAGATGCAGTTTCAAGATCAAAATAATAACAATACATTTAAATGTTAAATTACATTCTTCAAAATGAATTTAAGCTATATTATTGTTTTAAAACAAGTTTTTTTTAAAAGCAAATCCCTCAGGCAGACAACAGTAAAACAATGGGGAAGAAAAGTCAACAGTATCTGTAGAAAGTACCAAAACAACCCAGCTGAAAACAAGTAAATATCACTAAGTATCAGAATATGAGGTTGTACATTTCACTAAATACTGTTTAATGGATATGGAAGGACTCAATCCATGTGGTCAAACTACCACATTCAGCTGAGACGTATAATAATTGAACTGACAGCAAAAAGTGTATGTTGTATATTGGTGAAGTACAGGAGCCCATCAGAATAGGCAAAGCTACAATACGGGAATCTTAAGGCCTACTGAACAATTCACAAGGCAGGCACAGGATTACAAAGGTGCCATTAATATTTATAAACCTCTCTACTCATCAGAACTTTAATCTGTACCTGATCAAACATTGAAGCCCAATTTTGTTAGATAAAAATGTAAAACTACAAAAAGAAATATAACACTTTGAAGGATGGGAATGTGCTTCACACAAAAAATAAACACTATCACCAGTAGTACTACTTCTGATTCTGGACCAACCCCCCCCCTGGCCTTAGTAAACATGTACATAAATTACAAGAAGTAAAAACAATAATGTCTGATTCCCTGACACATCCAGCTACAATGCAGTGGAAGAAAAATATAATTAACAGAATAAGGGTACCACAATTGTTCGCACCGTTGCTCAAATTTGAAACAGCAAAATTAAAGCTTACAATTCCCTTGCTACTGAAGACAAACAAGGTCATCTTCCTTTTGAGTGCAGCAATCATTTAAATAACCCGTACTTTCAATGCTATTATCTCACTGATGTGGGGACTTCTGAAGCTCAATATTTGCCTGTACTGGGAACACTGTCATTCACAGACACAGTCAGTGTCAGGAAAATACATTAGCTCTCCAACAACTGCCGACACATCTCATAAAATGAGACTTTTTCATGAACAGAAAATGGAGCAGTGACTAGAGCTACTGTGTGTTAAGCTGCATTTCCACCTGAGCCTCTCTTATAACAAAAAGCTTCCTATAGACTATCATTAGTCTCCATTTCCTCTGCAGTGAAAGATCCATAGAGAAGCTGGACATATTAAAAAGTGCTGGCTGTTTTTTTGTTGTTTGTTTTTTTAACATGTCAGACTATTGAAATATATAGTAACCATGTTACACTGGCTGCCTCTGTCCATCTCCCAAAAACGGAGCGGTCACAGTCAACGAGATGAAGCCTGGACAAAGTCTGGCATAGGCCTCTTCCCTCGGGGTGGTTTAGGGGTGAGAGCATTTCTAATCAGAAAAACTTCACCAACAATGCTTCTTCTGTTTATTTACTCTAGTTACTTTATTTACCCCAAACACAGAACTTATTTGGGCAGGATGTCAGCTATATTAACAGCTGTCAGGGCAGATTTTGCAAGTCATTTTAGATTTTTTTTTCCCATCTATTTTTTACTTAAGCCATTCTTGACCAATTTACTAGTTGACAGTCCCCTTGCTCTTATTTTGAAATATTAGTTGGCGTTAACCAGCTAGCCCCAGCCCTTCCAGTCCTATTTTCTGCCTTTCAGCAGGCTGACCAGAATTTCTCATCTCATGGACTCAGAATCCACAGTCTTGGACTCCATTTTTGTAGGTTTGTTTTTTCTGCTCTGTAGATGTGACCACTAACCACAAGACCACTAACAAACATCTGCAGCAGGTAGAGAGCAGCTCACATGTCACTACAGCTGAGAAGAGCAAAGACAATCATCTCCAAATGCAATTCAAGGAGGTGGATGTTTGTATCTGGACAATTCTGAAGCATGAACGACTCAGAAATCAACAATCGCTACAGCACGGTGTCGTGACATTATGTGTGGCGATATTGTATAAATACAGGCACATACAAGGGGACTTGAGTCAACTGGCTGCCAGCTGGATGTATTCTGGTTACATTCCTATAGAACGGGAAGGTTGCTGAGCACAAATGTGAATTTCTTTCTATCTATACAGCAACAGAGATTTGAGATTTTAAACAATTCACCACGGTTCATTTCTTGTATTATCAGAAATAGATTGCATGTAATTGTCAAGTTGACCCCATTCAATCGCAGACTGATAATAGACTGACCCTGTCTTGTGGCAACATTTACCGCAGGTTTTAGTGACAGTGTTGGTGTGCTTGACGGTCTCATTTTGTATCAAAAAAAATAAATGGAGTTAGATAATGTTATCTTATTGGATAGAACTGTTACAAACATTTACTCTGAGGATGAAATTTGCAGTTTAAAAAAGGAAATAAATGGTTCAAATGTTTAAAAAATGATAAACGCTAAAAAAATAAATAAATAAAATAAAAAAATCACAGTAATATCTTATCGGAAGTAAAATACTGTAATAATAATATATTGTGGGGTGTCTGGTAGTACCCATCTAGTGGACAGATAGCTGAATATATCCGTTATTTATTTCTCCCAAAATATTTGAAAATTAAAAGAGTCAGAGGGGCACATTATATGAGACGCTATTTAATTTCATTTAAAAATGTGTGGGTGTGCATAATTTCTGGGCACATTTACAAAGGCACCCCTGGTACCACCACAATTACAATCCAATTCTGAGCAAAACACTGCACTCTCTAGCTTACTCAACCACAACTGCTCTCTTCATATATTTTTTTTTAGATAAACCAGGCAGACGAACCAAGTCTGAGTATTGTGCTTAACAACAGTAATCTCTGATATAAGCCTTAAAGTAAGCAAAATAAGCAACTGCAACAACTTGAAGTAAGATGACTAAGATGGACTGGCTGAATGCTACAAGTTTAGTGCTGCAAACATTATTACCACTGTTCCTAAACCAAGGGAAAACACTGTTGCACAAACAAGAGCTTTTTGGAGGTAAACATTTCCCAGAGAATTTAATCTTTAGACCTTTGTCCCTTTGATGGAAACATACAGAGTCCTTTCAAAGGCTCCTAGTCCCTTAGGAAAGTTCCTATGGTGGAAACACAGCTTTACAGAGCAAAAAAAGGAGTGCTCTTCAAAGGTGGATTGGTATATTCTTTGTTCAAATGCATTAATTCCAAATTATATTATTTTGATTAAAGTTAATCCCTTAAATGCACTAGATGCTATAGTCCCTGCACAAGCTGGAAACAATGGTTTGTACCATACTACTGGCAGCACAGCTTGTAAGTGTGCCGGTACCTTTGTAGGAGCAATAATTCAACATTCTAGAAACCAGCTAAATCCTTGATACGCCTCCTCAGAGCAGGTGTATCCTATTCATATTATCTTCAGGGAATACTGCACTCAGTACCTTGTACCAACAGTACACGTACCATAAACAATATATGACTGGCTCTTAAAACTATCACAGGCAAGTTTCAGCCAGAGGGATTAAAACAGGGTGGATTCACACCTATCCAATCAGCAACAAGATCTTCGGGAGGTTTTGCGGTTTCCATGGAGATCAATAGTACTACTCAAGAGCGCATGATCAATCTGGTCCTCAGCAGCCAGAACCTCCCTGACTGCTCCCCAACTGCTCTCTTCATATATATTTTTTTAGATAAACCAGGCAGACAAACCAAGTCTGAGTATTGTGCTTAACAACAGTAATCTCTGATATAAGCCTTAAAGTAAGCAAAATAAGCAACTGCAACAACTTGAAGTAAGATGACTAAGATGGACTGGCTGAATGCTACAAGTTTAGTGCTGCAAACATTATTACCACTGTTCCTAAACCAAGGGAAAACACTGTTGCACAAACAAGAGCTTTTTGGAGGTAAACATTTCCCAGAGAATTTAATCTTTAGACCTTTGTCCCTTTGATGGAAACATACAGAGTCCTTTCAAAGGCTCCTAGTCCCTTAGGAAAGTTCCTATGGTGGAAACACAGCTTTACAGAGCAAAAAAAGGAGTGCTCTTCAAAGGTGGATTGGTATATTCTTTGTTCAAATGCATTAATTCCAAATTATATTATTTTGATTAAAGTTAATCCCTTAAATGCACTAGATGCTATAGTCCCTGCACAAGCTGGAAACAATGGTTTGTACCATACTACTGGCAGCACAGCTTGTAAGTGTGCCGGTACCTTTGTAGGAGCAATAATTCAACATTCTAGAAACCAGCTAAATCCTTGATACGCCTCCTCAGAGCAGGTGTATCCTATTCATATTATCTTCAGGGAATACTGCACTCAGTACCTTGTACCAACAGTACACGTACCATAAACAATATATGACTGGCTCTTAAAACTATCACAGGCAAGTTTCAGCCAGAGGGATTAAAACAGGGTGGATTCACACCTATCCAATCAGCAACAAGATCTTCGGGAGGTTTTGCGGTTTCCATGGAGATCAATAGTACTACTCAAGAGCGCATGATCAATCTGGTCCTCAGCAGCCAGAACCTCCCTGACAGCTGCCTCAAACGCAGCGGTGACATTAGTGTCATCTTTAGCACTGGTCTCAAAGTAAGGGCAGCAGCCGTTCTCTTCACACCAGGCCCGCGCTTCATCCTCCCCAACCTCCCTCTGCTCCATGTCTATCTTGTTGCCCAGTACCACAAAAGGGAACCGCTCGGGGTCTTTGACGTCAGAGTAGTACATGAACTCCTTCTTCCAGCTGCCCAGGTTCTGAAAGCTCTGCAGGTTGTTCACGGCAAATGTGAGCAGGCAGCAGTCGGCGCCTCGGTAGAAAGGTGTACGTAGTGACTTGAAGCGCTCCTGACCGGCTGTGTCCCATATTTGAAGAGTGACAAGGCGTCCATCCACTTCCAAGTCCCGATTAAGGAACTCCACGCCGATGGTGTGGAAAGACTGGGAGTCAAACCGGTCTGTGACATAGCGGTTCATCAAGGAGGACTTGCCCACTCCACCATCTCCCAGTAGGATTACCTTAAGCAGCAGGTTCTTCCCACTCATCATGCCACCCACCCAACTAGGCCTCCTCACAGGGCTAAAGTCCTCCCCACTTGGTGGTAAACTGGGGTGAACCTAACCTAGAAACAGGAAGGGTGAAAACGAGATGTGGAAATTACTGCTGGTCATTGGGATATGAAACATAATGACTTCTCAGAAAACATTTAAAAGCCAAAGCAGTCTGTGGGTTTGTGTCCGCTGATGATTCAGAGTAGGTAATTAGAGGAACAGTCAGCAGCCACAGGATAACTGTTATAACTTGGAAGTAAACCTTTCTGCGTAATTAAAACCACATGACAGAAGTGTAATGGTTGACTAGCTTCAGGGACAAAATGACGGGGTGAAGGACCGAGATGTCTTCCAAAGGTCTCTGGCGTAGAAAAATACAGGGTAGCAGACAGCCCTGCTGTTTACGACATGAAACTATAATACTGGCTAGTCCACACATTATGCACTACAGTGAACAGATGCCAACTACAGATTAGGAAGTAAAAATTAAACATTAAAGAAAACGGGGGGTTTTTTGTAGTACATCATGAGGAAAACCCCGACACCACAACCGGCTGACCATAAATCCACTCTACAGCACCACCACTGCACCTGCGCAAACCACAAATATGTACCAGCTTGCCAAACTGTGGCTATTGGAAAACAAAAACTCTCGCTGAACTCTCTTGTCGATGCTGTTTGTGAAACTGTCCGCAGAAGTGCTTCAGAGAAGAAGTTAAATGGGAACCGAAACAGGTAAGACTTCTAAATCACGCCATGCGAGACAGTAAAGCGGTTGTAATGTATACCGGCTTAGCAACCCTCCCATCAAACTAGCAAGCTAGCCGACTAGTCTGATGCCTTGTTGACATTCCATCCCGGTCAGGCTAACCGTTAGCTCTAATTTATATGCGGCTCAGAAGAGTTTTAAAAAGCGACGCAGTTACGACTATTGCAGTGGGCTGGTGTTTTCAAAACTGAATGCATATCGTAGAAACATTTATTTCTACTTACCCTGCTTCTGGTAGGTAATATTGCGTGGCTGTCCCGCTACCCTACATCTGACTGAGATTCAGTGTCGTGACGTGCGCGCCCCATCGCGGACCTGCACGTGCACACCGCCCAAGCAAAGCGGGGTCCTAAAGCCCGTAAAATGAGCGGATACCCCAAATGATAAACAAACGGAAGTAAAAACTTAATCAAGCATTGCATTAATACACTAAATGCTAGTAATCTTAGTAGGCATCTTAGTAAAAAACATCATTTATATGCTTTGCTTTTTGTAAAACTGTGGGTTTGAAAATGAATGGATAACAACAATAATGATATTTTAGCGTTAGCCAAATAATTTTGGAAATTATCAGTACTGTTAATTTAGGGCATCTGTGACATAAATCGTACATTGGGTCGTGGGTAATCGTTTTGCTAAGAACTGTAAGTTTGTAACATTTTGCATTTGAGTTCAGTCTGAATAAAAGCTGGATTTATGAAAAATGTGCAAGAATTTTAGTAAATCTTACTATTTGCTTTGTCTCTTTCTACTTTGTTGTCCAAGCATAATTTACTTATTACCGATTTACTGATTATTTTCCAACCCATTTAAACCCAGAGCTGGACTTAATTTCCCTTCTCTAACAGTGGTTTAGTGACAACTATTCATTCTCTGAGATAACTAACCATCCTTCTTTTGACACATCTACTTGATGTGATGAAGTGGCCTTTCTGTCTCTCAGTAAACAAAACCAGATGCTCTGACCTGACAGTTGAGCTGATGTGGTTTTCACTTCAGATCTGCTAAATGTTACTCTGGATGCATTTCATGGCACTGACCTCACAGGGGTGGCCCCCTCTGCTAATCTCTGTGTAACCATGATGTGAAACTGACTTCTGGCACTTTTTACTTACACAAAAATCTGAGAACTGAGTTCTATTGTGAGACTGATATTATTTTTGAAGATCAAATTATACAAACTCTTCAACTGCTCATTCCACTGTTGAAGTCTAAATATCTACCGTAGACTTTAAAGTTCCACGTTTGACCTGTGAAAACTGAAAACTGGATCATGATTGGTTCCCCGCCTCATTCCAAAGTCACAAAGTCATCTTTTAAGTATGAGTTTTAAACTCTGGCCTAATTTAATTTAACTTACATTAAACATTAATTTGATTTACATTAAATTTAACCGATATTAATTTAACTTACATTAAATCAAGTCAACCGAAAAACCATCCAATACTGGACACACAAAGCTGCCTCCTCATTTGGAGCAAGAAATTCATGAGCTAATGGCTCGTGTGACTGAGCCATTAGCTCATGAATTTCTCAGTGAAATTTCTCCCTTTAGCAGAAACTACGAACACATCCTGCAGTAACAAGCTTTATGCAAACGTTCTTCTGCACAGTCAAGCTCAAACCTCAAAAATGTAAAAGTAATAAAAATGCTTTTTTAAATGGGAAACATCAGATTTACACTAACATCCAAATCAAGATCTGCCAGTGTTGCACTGTAGTTAACAGCAGTAAAGGCGAACTCTTTTCTACTCAGCAAGACTGATGGCAATAAGCTGGCAATCTGTCTGCATTTATAAATTAGACAACAGTTATTAGCAAACCTTTGACAACCTCTCTCGGAGTTGGTCCAGGTCAGACTGTGACTGTTGCAGAAAGGTTGTCTCCTATCAGGTGACCTATGCAATCGTCTTGTGATCAAAAGTGGTCGTGAGAGTGCAACACCCTCAAGCTCTATGTAGCCATTTAGTTACCACAATCTCCAATTGGTTGCAGAATGTGACAAAAATTCAATACAATCACCAGGCAGCCACCATAGATGCAAGGAGATTACTGTCCCTTCCTTGTGACTGAGCCTTTACCTTACTCTGAATTAGGAGATAGCTTTGCAAGAAGTGTACCCACTGTGGCATGATTTTTCGGCTGAGCCGATTTAATGCAAGTTTCCTCAGATAATCTTATTTTAAGACATAAAGGACGTGTTATTAATTCTGCTAATGTTGTTTGCTTTTAGAATGACTTTTGTATTTGCTTAAAGTTCATAGAAATCTCTAGGGTTTTTTTTTTATCTTAAAACATATACTCTATGTTTTTATGTATGATTTGTTGTGTTTGTTGTGGCAAAATCCGTTAAGTATCAAAAGATTCTGAACTGAACCTGTCTGGCCCAATCTTACTCCCGGGCTGTAGGTGGCGCTAGAGTGAGATATTTTTTAGACCTAGAGAAGAAGAAAATCAGGACTCTACAAAAAAAAAAAAAAAAAAAGTCAGCTGTTAACTGATGTTTGGGGAATCTCGTTAGCACTGCTCATCAAAGCGAGCTTACGTGAAAAGTAGCGCTAGATGTTTTATTTTGTAAGCTAAGAAAAAAGCCCCTTTCACGTGTTTCCCGCGGAGATGATGGTAGGAAACAGTGTGAATATTCCGATGTTTCTCCATGCTCTGAAAACACTGGCTCTGTAGAGTAAGTCGCTGGGTTGTTTGCGTAGCGGATCGCATTTATACAACCGCATTTATAAAGAAAAACAATCACACTGCTGTCCCTACACAGTAATGTGGTGTTTATTTTGAATTTGTGTGTCTTTGTTCAATTCACCCCTGCAGATGGCGGGTAGGAGCAGACTACTGCCCTTTGCTTGTCTGGGGTTTTTCGGGGTCCTGTGCTGGGTCTGGGTCTCCTTTGCCTCCTTTCCAGATGACCAGGTGCTTCCCCTGGAGGCCTTGGATGCACTAGACCGAGGAGCCTTTCAGCCTCAGAGTGCTCTCTCAGAGATGGAGTTTTCCTCCGTGGTTTCATACAGAGGACCAGGGAACCGCGACCGTCGCAGTAACAAGGAGCTGCCCATTCTCCTCTGGTGGAGCGGTGGGCTGTTCCCACATTTTCCAGGCGACACTGAGCGCATTGACTGTGCCACGTCCTCCTGTCTGGTCACGAGCAATCGTAAGGTACCCGAGATACTTACCCTCCTAAAACACCTTTCATGAATCTCCTGCCTTGGACAGGAGGAAGATGCATGTACACATTAATAATAATTAGCTTCTCGGGTTGCTCTGCAACTAATCTTGGGTTTGATCTTGAAAGGTGCAGCTGTACAAACGGACAACATCTATCATCTTTTATGGGACAGACTTCCGGGCATATGAGGCGCCTCTCCCTCGTCTCCGCCACCAAACCTGGGCACTGTTCCACGAAGAGTCACCTATGAATAACTATGTCCTCTCTCATGGGCCGGGAATCCGGCTGTTCAATTACACCGCTACGTTTCGCAGGGAGTCAGACTACCCCTTGACCCTTCAGTGGCTTCCTTCTCTGGAGTACTTGCTGGAGCCTGTCGCTGTGTCCTTGGAAGAGAAGAACCGCCTGAGGAGGGAGGGTCTGGCTCCAGTGCTCTACATGCAGTCTCACTGTGATGTACCATCAGACAGAGACAGATATGTAAAGGAGCTCATGAAGTACATAAAGGTAAAGTGCAGAATAATTCAGCTGTGTAATAACCACAGTCAAAGAGATTATGGTCCTGTGTTTTTTGTTTTGTTTTTTTTAATGAAAGATATAGCGGTCCGTTACCCTTAATGTTTTTTTTCTGCTTTACACAAATGCCGAGATTCTTTCTCAGTGGTAAATATCTCTTCTTATTTTATTACGCACTGCACAGCAGATAAAAATCACTAATCTTTGTGCTTCCAATTGCAATAGCAAATGTGTAAATGTTTTGTATAGAAAATACTCAGTGGAACAGCCAAATCTGTCATTGTGTAATAATTAATCTGTTCCCAGATATGCCCTAACTGTGTCTCCCATCTTTCCAAACATTATCTCTGTGTAGATCGATTCTTATGGGAAATGCTTGAACAACAAACCCCTACCAGAATATCTGGAGGACACAGCCACTGCTACCGGTGAAGAACCAAAATTCATGAATTTTGTGGCGCGCTACAAGTTCCACCTGGCTCTGGAGAATGGCCTGTGTCCAGATTACATGACTGAAAAGCTGTGGCGGCCTCTACACCAGGGGTGCGTTCCCATTTATCGAGGTGCCTCCGCGGTGGCGGACTGGATGCCCAACGACCGCTCGGTGATCATCATAGATGACTTCCCCTCACCCCAAGCTCTTGCCGACTTCCTCATACATCTGGACGAGAATGACGATGAATATGCTAAATATTTAAAGTTCAAGAACCCCAGCCGCATCACTAATACTCGTTTGCTAGAGTCACTGAAGACCCGCGAGTGGGGGGTGAATGACATGAGTAAACCCAACTACCTGAATGGATTTGAATGTTATGTATGTGACCAGGAGAATGCTCGATTAGCTGCAGAGCATGCACATAAAAAGGCCCCTAAGACAAATCAACCACCTCGGCCTAAAATGGCTAATAACTCTCACATGGGTTGCCCGCTCCCCAGTCCGGGATATGGAGACGTCAAAGACTTACCTTCAGATGATGGGTGAGTTTGTCTTTAAATGAACAACAGCACCAGGTGTGAACACAATTTTTTTTTTTTTTTTTTTCCCCTGCACTGAAATGTGAACAATAATGTCCTGCGGGGAGTGAAATCGGTCTGTTTTAATAGTCTAATTAAAATATCCTCTGTGATGAGCCTAATCTGTTTGTTTATCTGTCTGCAGATGGTTGCAAATATGGCCTCAGGATTACTGGCAGAGTCTCGACCAAGCAGAGGGGCTGGAGTCTCTGATAAGACACAACGAGTCAGACCCTTCTCTGCTGTGGAAGCACATCCAAAGCATTGCTGTGAGCAGAGCCAAAGGAAAACACTGACACAGGCCTTGAAACAAACAGAGGATGGAGTCCGTCCAGGATTATAGGAGTGCCCCAGATTATGTATTCCCCCCTCTTGTTTAAATGAGGGAACGAAGTACACATTGCTCATAGTTTTGCACCCAAGCCAACCCCACCCCCTTTTTACCCATGTGAGTAGTTTAGTTATCCTGAAACAAATTTTGCTATTTTGTTGAGCTGACATTAAACTTTGCCTTCATCCCACGCTCAGTAATGGGAAAATAACATTCTAGACTTTTATAAGCGAATATTTTCCAACCGGTTTTATCACCGTAGCTGAGTTTCCATTATATTGCCCATAGTTAGTATTAACTACTTGGAGGACCATTGTCCCAAATGGGCACACTCTCATGGGATGCGCCTTTTCATTAGACTGGGGCAGAGCCAAAGACTTGTCCTCTGTACCGTGGGAGCTCTGCCTAACTGTGTGTGAAGACCATCAAGACGGTAGCCAAATGACTGCATCAGCTTCTTTACAGTTACTCAGCAGGTAGCTGATGGCTATTAGCTAAAATCCCATTTAGATGCAAAGCTATTGTGACTATGCAAGGAAAATATTATTTTGCCAAGCAGAGGAGAGGTGCAAATGTAAATTTAGTACAACCTCGCATTGGGATGTTACCAGAGTTCTCAGGATCAGCTCAGCTTGGAAAAACTCTGATTTTTATGTTAGAATATCACCTTGTCTGACAATTTTCTGTTACATCATTTAGGATCATGTGCAATAACTACCAATCATTCTTTTCTGAAACACTCTTGACTCATGTATCTGGTAGCAAACTACTTTTATATGACATGGATACACCAGGATTATAGAAATTGTTTTATTTTGCTAACAAAGCATCATACATGCAAACACTATTTTGTATCAAGAAGAGCAAAAATTAAGTAAACATTTTGTAACCAAGTTCTTTTTTTTTTTTATTTCCTATTGTTGCTAAATTCTTGTATCCCTCTCACCAGTATTAATCTGTTCACATCCGTGTGTGATGTTGGACAGACGTATCCTTCATAGTAAACCGAAGCAGATAAAGCTTTCACCACCATCAAAACACAACGCAAGGTTTTAAAATATGTCATTATCAAGTTTAAGAAATCATACTCGCCGGTCACTTTAAGCTACATTAATCAGGAGTTCAAACAAATGCAGTGCAAACTTTGAAAAAAAGAGCAGTTCTCGCTTTGTGCGCGAATTAACATGACAGAAAGGAGAGAGAGAGGAGGTCTGCGAAGCTCTTGATGATCAGATGGCCCTGTAGCAGGTCTCGCAGTGGACTTTCCCACCGTGCAGGAACATACTGTGGAGAAGGTCTCCCATGGGTTTCTTACACATATCACACTGAAAGATAAGAAAACCACGTGATAACGCCTTGATGAGAAATGTTTGCAGGAAAACGATTTGAGCCACAAAAACGTAATTATCTGGTTAAACTTGCCTGGACTGGCAATAACAACAAATATGATTATTATTATTTAGGAAAAAAATTATTCATTGTATCTGACTAAATTACCTTGAAGCAGGAAGGATGGCAGTTGATGTTGAGGTGCTCAATGGTAATCTTGGCATCATTTCCCACCTGCTCTCCGCAGTATGTACAGGTAGATGACGGTGGGATCCTGGAGTAGCTGATTGAGAAAAGATAAGTTGATCACTGAATCAGGAACAGGTACAGTGCACTGAAGCTCAGTCTGGTTGAATAACAAGATATTTGGAGTCCTATGTGAGGGAAATTAATAAGTGTAAATAATCCTTGCTCAGCCGCTTAATGAGCAGGCTTGGTGAAATTTCTGCCCTTCTGCTTGCACGTATCTAGTTTTGTCAGTAGCGGAAATAACAAAGTGGGGGAGAAAGAGCTGCGGCTTATAGCTGTGGTTGCGGCTTTAAAACGCGTTTAGGGAATAGTCTTGTTTATGGAGGTGCCGTAGGGATAACCAAGAGGCTACACATGCTCAGCACTCGAAATATGTAACTGAAATATGTCAAATAGTGTAAACGGTAAAACAAATGCTAGTAGTTGCGATAGAGATACTAAAAGAAGAAGGTGAAATGTAAGCACCATGGCAACCCCCACAGACTCACATGTTAAAATAATAAAAAGGAAAAAAACAAAACGTGTTTACAACCTGGTACAAAAAATGTTTGTCTTTTTTATCTCCTTGAAAACTGCAGGTGCTCAGTCATAACTGCTATCTGTCTTCGAAGCAGAATCTCAGCTGATTCATGTCACTGAATTTCTCAACTGTGTCTACAGAATCTCTGTTTTTTGGAGCATTTTTTAGTCTGCCAAAATTGGATAAAATATGGCTTGCTTTGTGATTAACTGTACCAAACAGCAAGCCAACCAAGAAGCCTGTGCTCAAGTTGTTTTTCATTTGTTGTGTTTTTTAATTAGGTGAATTTCTAATACTCTTATTTTTGTCAGAGCTTATTAGCAGGTATCCAGAATTGTAAAATAGAGTTTATGGCTCCAACCTGCCAAACAGGCTATCAAAATACTGTCAATTTTGAATACAGGAAATAAAATGTAGCCAAAATGCCAAACAAGCATTTTAGCCCTTGCATGCTGTTTGAAGCCAACTTGACTTAATGTGACAGCAGTAAAAATACCTAAATATCATTCTCCATCTATTCTCCTCTGCTTATCCTTGTCATAGTTGCAGGGGGGCAGGAGCCTAGCCCAGTGTATGTATGTATGTGTACACACACACACATACATATATATATATATATATATATATACACACACACACACACACACACACACACACACACACACACATATATATATATATATATATATATATATATATATATATATATATATATATATATATATATATACACACACACACACACACACATATATACACACACATACATTTGTGTATATATAGTTCAAACTTTGATAGAGAGACGTCTAGGTCTGGTTCAAAAGTGAATGTGCAGTATTTTCCTGCCATAGGCTAAAATGTTGCTCTGTAAGATTTATTCCTGAAACATGTTCAGATTTATAAACAGTGATTCCAGCTGAAGTACTTGAACTGTGAGAACTGAAAATGGACACAGTAGCAGCAGGTTAAACTTACACAGCTAAAAGGGTTTGAAGTGTAATTAAGAAGGAGTTTTGAGAAACCCATGAATACAGTTTAAATGACGTTAGTGGGGGGAAAAGCTGAACTGCCATTTAAAGAGCAAGAAGTGAAAGCAGTTAAAGTATTGAGAGAGAGGCAGAGCTCAGACTGTGTTATTACCTGGAGTAAAGAGATGGGCTGCTGTAAGAATAGCTGGTGGAGCTTGAAGTCAGGTAATCTGACCTACTATTGGAAACAAGATCAATGAGTAAATCATCATGAGGGCAGTGCTTGCAGTTTTTTAAAGCAGTATTTTATATCAATATGGCAGTTGACTGTAAATAATTTATTGGCCCCACCTATTGAACGTGTCTCTGGGGTTCTGCGTTGCATTGACATACTCCTTCACAAATACAAACGGCCTTAAAGGAGAGGCAAAAGGTGGGTTAATACACATAGCTAAAATATATACACAATTGTGGTCAGAGGTTTGCATATACTCATCATGGGTATGAATTTCATGATGATTTTTTTTTCAAGGGTGGAATGATTGCATGACATACATCTTTAATGTCTTGAAAAAAATTGGATACACAACATAAAGATTTTAATAAGTAGTCCTAAAGCTTCAATGCCTTTTAACTTGACAAGCCAAAGCTCGCTAACTTCTCATTAGTGAACATGACTGACTGGTAGTTTCTCTTTGCCAGCATAAAAAGGATTTGTTTTAATAATACTCATTGGACTGACAAATACTCAGATGTTCACTGAGTTCCTTGGACTTTTCCATTGTTCCAAGAAGGAGAATTGTAGATTCACATAAGTTGAGAGCGTCTTTGGAAGCCATTTCTAAACAACCGCAGATTCCAGGTTTATCAGTTCAATCACCACTTTGCCAAAATCCAGAAGAAGACTCAAACTATCACAAATTGCTCCTGCTCCAAAATCGACATTTTCAAACTTGAGTGAAATTTGCGGTTGTCCTCATGGACAGATCAAATGCTTTTAGGAGAAAAAGATTTATGGCCAGACAAGACAAAGATTGAGTTATTTGGCCATAATGATGAGAGGTATATTTGGAGGAGTCAAAGGTGAGGCTTTCAAACCTAAGAACACTGTCAAGCATGATGGTGGTAGCATCATGCTCTGGGCTGGTTTGCTGCTAGTGGTACTGGTACACTGCACAAAGTGATTGGAATAATAAAGGAGGACTACCTCCAAATTCTTCACCTTTACATCCAACCAACAGCTAGATGGATTTAATGTGGACACAACTGGCTGTTACAACAGGACAATGATCCCAAACACACATCAAAACTGGTTTTGAATGGATAAGGCAGGCTAATATTATGGAATAAGCTTCCCAAAGCCTTGACCTCAGTCCTATTGAAAATTTGTGGAATAGGATTAAAAGCTGGGTCCTTGGTAGCAAACAATTTAAAATAACTCCAATTCTTTCAAGAAGAGCGGTCACATATCCAGCCAGAATTATTCCAGAAGATTGTTCATGCCTACCGAAAGCATCTGAGTGTAACTGGCTAAGGAACATTTAACCAAATATTAGTGGACGTGTATGTACATATGTCTGAGCCTGTGTATGTATACTTTTCAACAGTTCAAAGAAATAATTTAAAGCCCCAAATTATCTTGACGTTTACACCTGCCATGAGTGTATTCAGGATTTTGACCACAATTACATATGCTGTCAATCCAAATTAAATTTATAGTTTGTACAGTCACTCACTTTTTGGTTTCAGGTTCTGGGGTTTTGACTCTCTGCTCCTCTTCTCTTATGGTCCTGGAATAGGTATCAAAACTGGAGACATGCAACGTGCAGCAACATTAGTCTCATCTTTTACTCAATGATGGCATTACAGTGATGGGTTATAGAGAAAGACCCCACATCTGTCAAATGCAGCCCAGGAGATAATCACTTCTGCCACTGCTTGTTAATGACAGGCTGGTTAACGGGCTGTGATTTGACAAAAGGACATCTCTAATACACATCATTATTCTGACATCTGGAGGCTGATAATTAGAGGGAAGGAAATGAGGGCAAATTGAAAGACAATGGAAGAGCAGATCTTGTCATTCAACTTCAGTAATAGAGTTGAAATGGAAATCTGTCTAACCGGGTGTCATGATGGAGTTACGGGTAACTTTCACGGATAACTTTCAGTTGCTAACCATTTTCAGTTACGCCTACTAAAAATGGCTGCGTTACAAAGAGACAAAAGCAGATCCAGAAGGTGAAAGCGTAACACAAACCCACACGTGCTAAATATTCGATGGCGTGCATTTGTTTTTAGATACATTTCATAAAATAACCATTTATTCCACTCGTTGAAGAACAGGTAAATGTAAGTTTCATGCAACACCGCACCATTGCTCAAATTTCTAGAGGCATGAAAGGATTTAAAAAGAAAAAAAAGGGCAAGCCAGTGTTGTTACGAAAGTGAGGAAATCAACAGACGAGAGAGAAAATAACCCTCTGCATTACGCTGTCTGACTTTACAAGATCATAAACTTACCGATCCATGGAGGGCTCAGGCTCACTGCGTATCTCCCTGGAAAGTAAAGAAAACAGTGTTAGACTTTTATAGTAGGCTGAAGCAGTCAATAAGCTGGACGCAATCCAGTAAGCGAGACCGCTGCATTTTTAAAAAAAATGTGTATGAAACTGATCTTTCTGGCTCACAGCTCCACTAGGGTCACAGTTTATTGACCAGCTGTGGTCTGCTTTATATAGTACTGCACCACTGCCTGATCTGAGGCCCTCCTCCCAAGCAGTGTGATTGTAACCTCCACTTATACATCTTCTCATGCTCTTAACCTGAGCCCTTCTAATCTCTACAGTTTTCAATCTCAATACGCAAAAAAACTCTTTTCCCTACCTGATGGTAGTGATGGTTGTGACCGTTTGTGTATCCTCAGTGCTACAAAAGAGACAAAATTCCTGCATTATAATGAGTTTGTACAGGTAAAGATAAGACAATATTAAAGTTTTAAAAGAAAAAAAAAAGAACAAGCTGAAAAAGTTAATTATTCTCCGACTGAGCCGGGAGGATGTTTCATCTTGTGTTCAGCTTTCTTTCAATTAAATGCTTGACAGCCACTGAATTTTAAGGTGCTATAATCACATCCTACTAAAATAGTTTCCAAAAGGTGCTTTAATGTGCATTTAATGAGCTCAACCATACCGAAGATACCTTCCCTGCTCCTCTTCTTGCTTCTCTTCTTCTTCGTCGTCGTCGTCCTCCTCCTCCTCTTCTGTGGGGATGGTATAGACAGTCGGTGATGTCCATCGGTCCCACGGAGAGTCATTCTCAAGGGACCTTGAAAACAAACAAACAAAGACATAGCAGCATTGGAAGATGGCCGGTTCACATGATGTTTATTCTTCCAAAGACAAAAAAGGTAGAGGGGGGAGTGGGGGGGGGGGGGGGGTGTTTACCTCAGTTGTGAGGGAAAGTTGTAACAAATATATGTCTGACCTATTTTCATCAGCGCCAGTGCACAATGTCTTCCGACTCGGTGAGCAAGGCGCTGCAAGAGTCTCGCTACTTCACCGCGGTGAAAAGGGAGGAGGTTACAGAAATAAAAAGGAGCCAATATCCAAGATCACTTACTTCCTCTCAAACATGATGACTGTCTGTTGATCTTCAGCTTGGCCTTCTGCTTCTGGTTGCGCTTCTTGGCTGAGAGGGGAGAGACATTGAAAGGCTTTTAACATGCAATGGACACAGATGGGTGAAAGTAGATGAATGAAGCACAGAGTGTATAGTGTGGGGGTGCAAAAGTACATCAAAGCATGTCATCACCTCTCCTCTGTGTTCGACTCCTGGACTGTGTTGGTTTCCCATGACCGCTGAGTGCTGATGTTAAAACAGCCAAAGTGGGGAGAGATAGCAAGAGGGAGAGGGGGAAAGGATTTGGGAATTGTGACAGATGAAGCACATCAGACAACGCTCAAGCAGGAAGGTTTGAGAAAAAGATTTCTGTGGGTCTGCACTTTCCCTTCCACTCCCATTTCTCAATCATAGATTCGTCACAGAAGTATGCAGCTGAGTTGGTTCAATACCTTGTTTTGTCAGTGTTGAAAGGGATGATGTCATCTGCAAGGGACCGCAAGGCATTACTGCCCATACTGTCAGACACACAAGAGAGAAAGCCATCAGCATGGCTCACTCACGAGTATTTCTTTCTTTCGTTCTTTTTCTTACATTTGCAGTTTAGTTTCCTATAATGAATCATTTCAGGGGCAACTTTGTTTCAGGTGCCAGAGAACGTTTCTACAGATTTCCCAATGGCAGGCAATCTCCCTTTCCTCACAGTTCCAGTGTAATTGGTGTGTAACTGTATGAATGGGTGCATAAAAAACTCATTGTGGAGGACTTTGTAGAACCCCCTAATGCTAAAAATGTCCCCAATACTCACAATATTAATTTTTCTTAAGCTGAAACATGTAAGCAATAACAAACTTATTTTGTTTCTGAGCTCTTTTCCATTAAAGCAGGTAATGCACTAAAATTAAAATTAAAACAGAAAACAAATAAGTAAATCAGCTTGAGCATGTCAATAGATCCAGACTCCTGGTGCTTCTTGCATCACATCTACTGATTATGAATAACAATTCTCGCATTAGCTTACAAACTAAAGCAGTTGTAGTAATGAGGAAACCGTGTGCTAACATCGGCGCCACAAACAGAGGTTACAGTATCGAAAAAGGGAATTTGCATTATCATTCCCGTACCTGTTGATGGAACTATCAGAGAGGGGCTGGCGCAGGTCAGAGGAGCTGGAATAGAGAAAAGTGTCTCATAATCAGAAACTGCTGAATTATGCATGCTGAGATGCTATCTGTCTTGCAGGAAAACAGTCATAGCTCCAAACCAATATGATTACCTGTTAGGGGATGTGGTCCCTATCGGATATGGATCAAATGGATCAGCCGAGCTGAAAAACAATTTCACACTGATTTCACTCTCAATTGTCAGCGTTGCCCATCTTGTGTCGAAGGAATTCTGATCACATTGACTCATAATGGAAAGATTTAATGCAGTTTGAATGGTAAATAGAAACACAGAGGGACGTGGGGCAAAACTCAATAAAAATCAGAATCAGGATGTTGCTGACAAATGGAAACACTATTCCACTGCTGAACAGCAAAATCTGCGGACTTCAGGATTTCTTCACCTAAGATTAACCCTTGAACAATTACACCAACCCGGTCATTTATATTACCGAGCTGGAGTGAAACCGTGTGTTATTATTTACTATTTTTAAGCACACTGGTTTGCATGTGACATGTGACAGTAAATAAACTACCTTGATTTAGTGACTACGGTTGTCACTGTTGTCACACGTGAGCTCCAGGGATCCGCATTGTCCTCTTCACTGCACAGCGGTGAGATAGAAGTAAGGAGGGCGGTACGGATGAATGGCATGATGGGAAGAGAAGAGAGGGCAAGTAAAGGTTAGTGTGGTTGTTCTCATACACTATTTAAAATGTCTGTCCTTTAGTAAAGCTCAAGATGCACTGAATTATTTAGCAATCACAAAAACCATCTGAATAAAGCACAGACTATAGCTTTGTATGCTGTCATGCTTTTTTAGGTAATGATCACAGTTTGGTCATTATAGTGACTCTGTGTCTCTGTGGGGTTTGCTGGCAGCATAGCTGCAGGCAGACTTGTTATAAATCATTACAAGCCGTGTGTATGGAATGCATTTCTTGGAAGGAACAGTTCTGCATAGATAGATAATTGTTTAAGAGCAGCCTGTCATCTCCCGCTACCTTTGTGTTTCTTTGGCTGTCTTGTCTGTCTGCTTCTCCTCCTCTTGCTGCATGCTGAGGCTGGTGGAGACAAAACAAAGCAGCAATACTAATCAGTACAGAGCATTCCCTTCTATTTCCAGTCGTGCTGCTTATGAAAGCTGGCTTTCCCTTTCAAAGTCAGTCGTTTCAGGAATTTGAGACTTTGGTTCTATTTAACGTGGAGCAGGAGGTTAAAATAGAAAATGCCAAACGGGAGCGGAGCCCTGCTTTGTGGATCAAACTGAAGGAGGGTTTATCAAAGTCTTTCAACTCAGCAAGCCGGGATCTTATTAATAATAAGGATGCATAAGCAAGGAGGGTGAGATGGGAGGAGAAGCCGGTCTGTCTCTTTCTCACCTGTGTGCCTCTGTGCCTCTTACAATGACATCATTTGCCAGAAGATCCAGAGTGCCGCTGGTCTTCACTGGGTTTGGCTTACTAAAGACATGAAACAGAAAATTGAAATATGGGGGAGAGTTCTCTTGAAACTCTACATCCAACTCTGGAAAGGTAAGCTGAGGTGGTATTTTGGTTTGCTACTGACAAGGAAGTTATTTTTACTCTTTTTTTTCTTAGGAGAAAGAATTCTTCCTCTACCTGTCCATTCCACCAAGCAGATCCTGACTCCAGCGTCCTGGGCTGGGGGGAACAGGTTCTGCTGGCTCCTCTGGACTGCAGATGTAGAAAGAGGAGAGGAAGAGGAAGCAGAGAAGTTGATGAACAAAGGGGGATTTACGATTCAGTGGAGATTTCAGAGCTAGAACAGGCCAGTTGAGGTAAAGGACGGGCAGATTATAAGAAGCCCAACAGTGCCACCTTGTGAGAGCTATTCAAATATTTGCCACCGTGACAACTTTTTAATTGCGCAATTGTAACAATGTATTTTTAACAAACCCATCACTGAAACCCAGGAGATCGTCTGTTATTGGTTCACAGTTGTTGAGCTCTGAATCTGGCTTCTGTTCAGCACTGCAGTACAGGAGAGGAAAAGATATATTAGTGCACCTGCTTTGGCAAGAAAGCATATATCTCTATATCAAATGTTTAAGTGCCACACTTAATCAGGCATAATTAGAGACACCCCTTGGTATCAGGCTTTTTGAGCGCCTGAAAATGAGATGTGCATTATTTTGTAATTACTTTGAAGTGAGCTCAGTGGCAGTTAGCCCTCATCAGTTTTCTTGCCAACACTGCTATGACAATAATGAGGAAGTTGTTGGTTTTATACCTGTTCTCTGTGGGGTGATCGTCCGCTGAGTCTCCTTTTTGGTTTGCCAGGGCTTCCTCATCATTCTTAAAGCTACTGAGGAAAAAGAAAAAAAAACAAAAGCTCTTATTATCAGATGGCATATTGTTGAGGCTGTGGGAACTAATGTGTCACTGCATTTCTGGTTTCTCCGGCTTTCATCTTTCTCTTCTGGAAGTACCTGGATGAACTGGTGTCGAAAGAAATCAGAGTGTTGGACAGAGCAGGGAGCGTGTCAGCAGCGGAGCTGTGAAACAAGATGGACAACAAACACATCACATTCCAGAGCAGCTTTGAATTACACATGTGAAAGAATGAGAGCAAACACACCTAAACAAAGAAAACCACTTAAACCACTGAAAGCATATTTTCATAACAACCATAGCTTTGCTTACAAATCATGCTCGAGGCTCATTATATACGTAGGTAGTTTTATGTTATATTGCTGGAGTGGTAGAAGCAGTATTAAGAGCTTTTACTTAAGAAAATAAAAGTAAAATTACATCCGGAGAAATATTTCCAGCTAAAACAGCTTTAAATACTCCAAAGTAAAACTACTCCAGGCAGATGAATGGTCCCTGTGAGGTTTTTATTGCTGTACTCTACATTACTGGAGCACTAGAAAGGACACATTAATGTGCAAGGAGAATTTTACTCTTGGAGCTGGTCTAAGTGGAAGTAATTTAGCTTCCGTTTCTAATGTTTCTTAGTGTGATCTTTAACAATCCACTGAATAAAATTATACTATGTTGATCTTTGTCTGTAAAATACCAAACCAAATGCCATATAAAGCAAATAGTAAGTTAATAGGTTATATAAGCTTAAATAAATTGTTATGCGCAATTATAGATCAACACAGTTACATTAAAGTGCAAATTCATTCAAGAGCTAGTAACATAACACCTGAGTTTATTCCATTCCACCTGTTGATGCTACAAAATGTGCCAGGACTGAATGGAAATCTGACCTTGGTTTTGGAGGCAATTTAGTCTGTGGCTCTGGTTCCATTTTGGGTTCAGGTTTTGTGTTCAGTCCAGATTCTGTTACAGCAGGCACTGGGACAGGTGACTTGGTGACAGTGGAGGTTGGGACAGAGGACACTTTAACATCTGATTTTTCAGGGGTTGAAGCCACATCAGGGGACACAGGAGCAGGCGACTTGGTGACAGTAGAGGTCGGGACAGGAGACACTTTGACATCCAATTTTTCAGGAGTTGAAGTCACATCAGGGGACACAGGTGCAGGTGATTTGGTGACAGTGGAGGTTGGGACAGTGGAGGTCGGGACAGGAGACACGTTGACATCCGATTTTTCAGGAGTTGAAGTCACATCAGGGGACACAAGTGCAGGTGATTTGGTGACAGTGGAGGTTGGGACAGTGGAGGTCGGGACAGGAGACACGTTGACATCCAATTTTTCAGGAGTTGAAGTCACATCAGGGGACACAGGTGCAGGTGATTTGGTGACAGTGGAGGTTGGGACAGTGGAGGTCGGGACAGGAGACACTTTGACATCTGATTTTTCAGGAGTTGAAGTCACATCCGGGGACACAGGTGCAGGTGACTTGGTGACAGTGGAGGTCGGGACAGTGGAGGTCGGGACAGGAGACACGTTGACAACCGATTTTTCAGGAGTTGAAGTCACATCAGGGGACACAGGTGCAGGTGATTTGGTGACAGTGGAGGTTGGGACAGTGGAGGTCGGGACAGGAGACACGTTGACATCCAATTTTTCAGGAGTTGAAGTCACATCAGGGGACACAGGTGCAGGTGATTTGGTGACAGTGGAGGTCGGGACAGTGGAGGTCGGGACAGGAGACACGTTAACATCTGATTTTTCAGGAGTTGAAGTCACATCCGGGGACACAGGTGCAGGTGACTTGGTGACAGTGGAGGTTGGGACAGTGGAGGTCGGGACAGGAGACACTTTGACATCTGATTTTTCAGGAGTTGAAGTCACATCAGAGGACACAGGTGCAGGTGATTTGGTGACAGTGGAGGTTGGGACAGTGGAGGTCAGGACAGGAGACACGTTGACATCCGATTTTTCAGGAGTTGAAGTCACATCAGGGGACACAGGTGGAGGTGATTTGGTGACAGTGGAGGTTGGGACAGTGGAGGTCGGGACAGGAGACACTTTGACATCTGATTTTTCAGGAGTTGAAGTCACATCCGGGGACACAGGTGCAGGTGATTTGGTGACAGTGGAGGTTGGGACAGTGGAGGTCGGGACAGTGGAGGTTGTGACAGTGGAGGTTGGGACAGGAGACACTTTGACATCCAATTTTTCAGGAGTTGAAGTCACATCCGGGGACACAGGTGCAGGTGACTTGGTGACAGTGGAGGTTGGGACAGTGGAGGTCGGGACAGTGGAGGTTGTGACAGTGGAGGTCGGGACAGGAGACACTTTGACATCCAATTTTTCAGGAGTTGAAGTCACATCCGGGGACACAGGTGCAGGTGACTTGGTGACAGTGGAGGTTGGGACAGTGGAGGTCGGGACAGGAGACACGTTGACATCCGATTTTTCAGGAGTTGAAGTCACATCAGGGGACACAGGTGCAGGTGATTTGGTGACAGTGGAGGTTGGGACAGTGGAGGTCGGGACAGGAGACACTTTGACATCTGATTTTTCAGGAGTTGAAGTCACATCCGGGGACACAGGTGCAGGTGACTTGGTGACAGTGGAGGTCGGGACAGTGGAGGTTGGGACAGTGGAGGTCGGGACAGGAGACACTTTGACATCCAATTTTTCAGGAGTTGAAGTCACATCGGGGGACACAGGTGCAGGTGATTTGGTGACAGTGGAGGTTGGGACAGTGGAGGTCGGGACAGGAGACACTTTGACATCTGATTTTTCAGGAGTTGAAGTCACATCCGGGGACATAGGTGCAGGTGACTTGGTGACAGTGGAGGTCGGGACGGTGGAGGTCGGGACAGTGGAGTTCGGGACAGGAGACACGTTGACATCTGATTTTTCAGGAGTTGAAGTCACATCAGGGGACACAGGTGCAGGTGACTTGGTGACAGTGGAGGTCGGGACATTGGACGTCGGAACAGTGGAGGTCGGGACAGGAGACACTTTGACATCTGATTTTTCAGGAGTCGAAGTCACATCCGGGGACACAGGTGCAGGTGACTTGGTGACAGTGGAGGTCGGGACAGTGGAGGTCGGAACAGTGGAGGTCGGGACAGTGGAGGTCGGGACAGTGGAGGTCGGGACAGGAGACACTTTGACATCTGATTTTTCAGGAGTTGAAGTCACATCAGGGGACACAGGTGCAGGTGATTTGGTGACAGTGGAGGTTGGGACAGTGGAGGTCGGAACAGTGGAGGTCGGGACAGTGGAGGTCGGGACAGTGGAGGTCGGGACAGGAGACACTTTGACATCTGATTTTTCAGGAGTTGAAGTCACATCAGGGGACACAGGTGCAGGTGATTTGGTGACAGTGGAGGTCGGGACAGGAGACACTTTGACATCTGATTTTTTAGGAGTTGAAGTCACATCCGGGGACACAGGTGCAGGTGACTTGGTGACAGTGGAGGTCGGGACAGGACACACTTTGACATCTGATTTTTCAGGAGTTGAAGTCACATCCGTGGACACAGGTGCAGGTGACTTGGTGACAGTTGAGGTTGGGACGGTGGAGGTCGGAACAGTGGAGGTCGGAACAGTGGAGTTCGGGACAGGAGACACGTTGACATCTGATTTTTCAGGAGTTGAAGTCACATCCGGGGACACAGGTGGAGGTGATTTGGTGACAGTGGAGGTTGGGACAGTGGAGGTCGGGACAGTGGAGGTTGTGACAGTGGAGGTCGGGACAGGAGACACTTTGACATCCAATTTTTCAGGAGTTGAAGTCACATCCGGGGACACAGGTGCAGGTGATTTGGTGACAGTGGAGGTCGGGACAGTGGAGGTCGGGACAGGAGACACTTTGAAATCTGATTTTTCAGGAGTTGAAGTCACATCCGGGGACACAGGTGCAGGTGATTTGGTGACAGTGGAGGTCGGGACAGTGGAGGTTGTGACAGTGGAGGTCGGGACAGGAGACACTTTGACATCTGATTTTTCAGGAGTTGAAGTCACATCGGGGGACACAGGTGCAGGTGACTTGGTGACAGTGGAGGTCGGGACAGGAGACGTTGCAGTGGTCGACTCAGGGGACTTTTGATTAGATGATATTGGGGGTTTTGATGGTGGCGAAAGATCAACCAGAGGCGTTTTAGTCTGCCCAGACTCTTTGGGTTGTGGCTCTTTAGAGGCTACTTGAAGACAATCTTTGATTAGTTCAGGGAGGGGAGCAGCCACCTTGGTGTCAAAAGTTGGCTGTTCTTGTGTAACAGACACTTGAGGGGTCTCTTCTTTTGCAGGCTCTGGGGTGGCCTTCTTCTCCAACTTTGGAGCAACCGGCTCATTAACACTCACAGCAGCAGCTGTCTTAGTGCTGGTGTCAGCACTGTAAACCACAGAGATAATGAATCAAACTCAAATCACTTGTTGCACTGGAAATAGAAACATGGTGCGGGATTTACATTTTCTGAGGTTCGGGCGCAGGCTTGGATGCAACAGATGTGACAGGAACAACAGGGGATGGCAGCACAGCGCTGGCAGGTGCAGGAGTCTCAGAAGGCTCATCATCATCAGTAATCTCCACCCTGCACATTTTTAGTCAACCACATGATGGCACAAGTAGAAATGCATGCAAGTGTAGAGCACATATTTCACATATCTTTTCTTTTTGCCTCTAGGAAAAAGGGCTTACCTTGTAGCCACAAATGCTGGACTGCTATTGCTGAGCGATGTGTCAGGCGTTTCTTGAGACCTTAGAGTTTTGAACACAAAGCCTGTGTGAATGCCTCCGTAAGTGCTCAGCAAGGCACGTCAATAAAAAGAATTTCCCACTGCATGGGAAGTTTTAAACATATGCACTGTTCTTTTATGAAAGCATTACAGAAACATGCTGTATCTCAAGATAAGCATTAGAATAGTGGCATGAGAAAATACGTACTCGTATTTCTTTGCAGCTGAAAGCACGTAAGACCGTTGCCTGGCTGCAGATTTCGTCAGAACATTACTGGCTTTCTCCGTCCTGCAGAATGAATCAGAATAATGTTAATGTAATCTCTTTCCCGGGTGTCTAACTTCAGGACGCAAGGAGAGTCTTACCGCTTCTCCAGCTCCTCGAGGCTAAGCTGGCCCTCCTGTTTCTCTGCAGCAGACCGCACAGTGTGGGGGGCTCTGAGGAACAGAAGCACAAACATGCACCTTGTGAAAAGACTCTCATCCAGCTGCCAGCAGTTAAACTGGGAATCTGAATTTACGTTTGCTCACATTTTCTTGTAGGTCTCTGAAGGCTTTTTGTTGAATTGCGGTGTTTTGCTGCAATAAAACCAGATAATAAGTAATGGAGGAAAGGTCAAACTGCTTGTCGAAGCTGTGTGGTTCAGCTGCTCTTACCTAAAGCCGTTAGATGGTGAGGATGGAGGAGGCTTGTCCACTTTAGTGAAAACACCCCTGAAGAAAAAGAAAGAAAGTCCTGAACAAGCCCTTATTTCTTTATACAGTTTGTGTGTGTGTGTGTGTGTGTGTGTGTGTGTGTGTGTGTGTGTGTGTGTGTGTGTGTGTGTGTGTGTGTGTGTGTGTGTGTTTCTTTTTAAGTGTTCACTGTGATGGTGACTGAGACTCCACTTTGGCTGACTAAAATCTCTGTTTTATAAATATATATGTTTTTATATGCTTTGTGGTAAACGTATTTTATAACCCAGATGGTGGTGCTCAGAATATCAGAAGCCTTTCTCTTACCTGATAAGGTATCCGGATGTTGGCTGCCTAAACTCAAAACAGAGACTTGTTATCAGCACAGTCATGTTTCAAAGAACTGCAGATAAGCCTATGACATTAAAAACCTGGGTTTACCTCTCCGTGTCAGACTTGGTTGGTGGCGGAGTAGAATTTGTTGGCGAAGACACTGGACTGGTGTCAGCAGGGGCTCCGCTCAGACGGCTGGCTTTAACTTCTGCTATCCTGCAATGGAATTTGGTTTTATCTTATTTTCATTTATTTCCTATGTGACAGAGTAGATGATAACGGGATGATGGGTATCGTGCTTAAACAGGGGTGTTTACCATGGTTTCTCCTCTTGCGTTTCATCCTTAGACTCATTGCTGCGTTGCAACCAGCTGGCGTCTCCCCTCAGCCTTGTCCGGACTTTGGTGGTACGCAGCACGGACGCTCTGTCTCCCTCTGAGATACAAACATGTGCATATCACACACCCGCACACAAGCTCACATTTGAGATATGATACACACTATATGCTGCATCATAATGACAGCTTAGTAATTGTCTGCTTGATAGCTTCTAAGATATACAGTCCCCCTTTGAGCCAGAAGACACTATATCATCAACCACTTGTAGTTTGCCTTAAATCAGGGTAATAAGTGAATTTATAGCCAAGAGCCCGGCACAGATGCATAATACTCCCAGCTTTTATTGGAGGAAACACATCATCTCACATTAAAATCAAAATCTGCTCACCTTTTGACATGCTTGTTTCACGGGGTTCTCGCTCTCTTCTTTTTTCTCTTTTCTTTGCAGGCCACTAAATTATAGATAATTCAGAGAGATGATTGGCATCTTGTAAAAATTAGGCGTATGATGTGAGCAGCGAGTTGCAACTTTGTTCCCACACTATGTCCCCTCCCATTGAGAAACATGTGCTGTGTCAAACATTCCTCAGTTTCATCCTTAAAACATGCAGACGATCCTGTCTGTCCACTTTCCGAAATATGCAGCGATTGACCAAATATGAATGGACGCAGATAGGCATTCTGTGTATCTGACACTCTGTAACAATATAAACTGGCCCACATAAGATTAACCTGATTACACAAATATCGCTTTCTATTCGCTCATTTCCAAATGAACTGAGCCTCAGCTATTTAGGATCAGAAAACAGAAACGAGTTGCTCAGAGGCAAGCCTACGTCCTCAGGGGAACTTCAGTAGAAAGGGGAAAATACTAATGAAACAATCACAAGTGTACCCTTATCTGAAAGTAGACACAGAGTAGAGCTTATGCAAAACTGTGGAGTATTGTTAAAGTCAGAATGCAAATATCACTTTTTAAAAAAAGTCCTTCCTTAGGCTGTGAATTCATTCCCTTTGGAGTAAGTCGGCGCAATATCTCTTGAGGATTTTCCTGAATATTGGTGACAAAACAAACTGAGGGCTCAGAGACCATATTTATCTTCGGTTTAGCACATCAGTCTATAAGAGATAAATGATTAATGAAAGCCAATAGCATTTTAAAGCAAGCCCCGAGCACGATAGGAAGCAATCATGGCAAAGAAACATCCAGAAAATGAGAGGGCAGACACTCATAGTGAACACTTTCAACAAACAGTTTATATAACCCAACCAATCCGATCACTCTGACACTTTTAAAATACACAAAATATCATGTCATGAATAAGTGAACACCAGAGTTCCTACCTGCTGTCACTTTATATCCAGCACAGGAAGATTTGTTGAGGATCTGTGTCCTAGTGAGTGTGGTTGGTGTGAACAGAGGAAAAGTCTTTCTCTGTCTAACAGGTGTCTCAGCCCGACGTATTAGCCAACAGGTACAGGCGTGAGCACTAACAAGCCCAGCCAGTCAAGGGAGGTAAATATGGGGTGGAGCAGCGTGTGTTTGTCTATCTACTTGTGTGTGTGTGTGTGTGTGTGTGTGCGTAAGAGAGGTTGCTAAGAATTAATTTCTGTTTACTACATCTGGGCTTTGTTCATGGATGACAGCAAGCACATACCTGTCGCACAGGTGGCTGGCAATCAATGCTTAGAACCAGCAAGGCATAGGGGCAACGACAAGGTGCACTGCATGGCAAACATAAACGAAGTGACACACAGCAACATCTCCTTTGGGAAACACTCGTCTCATGCTCACTGGGTAGGACAGCCCAGGAAGCACAAGCATTAAAACAAGAACAAGAACACAGCACAGAGCCGAGATAATGAAGAGAAACAGCGGTCGTCAGAAAAAATAGAACACAAGCTTGGAACATTCTTAATTTTATTCTTAAAGCAAAGGTGTTTTATACTTTCACGTGTGTTTCTGTGAAGGAAAAATCATGAATGCTGGCGTGAACATTGAATTTCTTATATAAGCTCTGGTAAAGGTCATTTATGGATTACCCTGTGCTTTGCAATACGCAGGATATCCTAGGAAGAAAAACAAATGAAAGCCCATTGTAAACAAACTGTTTGCTCAATCCGAGCGACTATATCCATGTTTGTGTAAGAGAAAGTCAAGGATGTGCCTGCAATTGTCGAGCAATTTTTTTCTCCTACAAATGGCAAAAGAACACTTTCTGAGCATTTGGCCACAGTTTCAACTTTCTGAAACCACACTGTGCCTTAGAAAAAGCACAAAAACCCCATAAACAGTCTGTGTACATATTTACGAGGCCGTTTCAAAATCACAGAAAGGGTGTAGATAGGTTTCACAACACGTCACAGAAAGTAGGTGGAAGAGGAAATTGGCAACTCTGAATGCCAAAGTGTCGCTCTGGCAAGCACACTTGCAAGTGTAAATGCTAACGTGTATTATTCACCTGGATCTCTCTCCCTTGTTCCCTTGTAGAAGAAACCAGTCAGACGGCCTTGCCCAGTGGCTCTGACTCTAGCAAGTGAATCATTAGGGTGCTGCTGCTCAGAATTAAAATGAGAATGCAAAGTATCTGAACATAACCCCCACCTTATTCTCACCACACCAAGACAAGGAATGACAGAAATGCTGAACAGGGAAAAGACAAACTTAAGTAATGTAACCAATGCATTTAACGCAGTGAAGCACGTCAGTGTCAACGACTTCATTAGTATCTCAACTTTCTCATTTCCATGTAGGAGATGGATGTGTAAATATTAAGATTATAGCTGTGTTTTAGTATTACCCAGCCCATCATTGTTTTTAATGACAGTGCTTGAATAACACAGAGTCTCCCTGACTCATCAAAGCACACGCCATGCTTATGACACCCAGCACCTAACAGCTGAGTGACTGGAACCTGTGGATGTTAATCTAGTTCACATGATGTCATATCAGAATTTTATTAGACTGATGTGCATGCATTTACCTGTGCACTGAAACCACTACTGGTGGCTGCGTTTATTTCTCCTCTTATATCAGAAATGGTGCACTCACATTCTGCTAATTTTCTCCTCAGGATGTCGTCCCCGTGGACAACAACACAAGATACCGACCCAAGGAAGTATTTTGGTACAGAGGTTAGCAGAGGTTTGTTCTCTCATTGTGCAGGAACAAGATCCTGGGTTTGAATCCACTGCCTGGCCATGACCTTTCTGTGTGGAGTTGGCGGATTCTCTGTGGGTACTACGGCTTCCTCCCATGTAGGTCCAAAGACCTACACATTAAGCACTATGGTGATTTAAAATTGGTTGTAGGTGTAAGTGTGAATCACTCTATTAGACATTTAACAAACAGGTACGTCCAGTGCATTCCCCATCCCTCACCCTATGACAGCTGAGATGTTCCAGCCCAAACCGGATGAAGACATGAATGGTTGGATATTCATAGGGAATATGAACAGTCCCAAAAAAGTAAAAAAAAAAAATATATATATCATAATGATGTGAGAGTGTTGTTTAAACAGTAGTTCCCCTTGGGGAGGTCTGGAGTTATAGCAGACTGCAGAGACTAAATAAAAATAACAGATGGCTCTGCCCTGCAGGCAAGGTGTGGGCAACTTTGTAAAAGTGCTGCCAGGTAAGCAAAGAGCAGATAATAAACCTGCACTAACTACCACAACTAAAAAAAAAAAAAACAACAACAAAGAAATCCCCTTGGCTTCAACACAGTGTGTAATAAAGAGAGACCCAAATGTATTGGCTGTCAAAATCCTGATTTCTGTCGTGACGCCAAACAAGTTAGGACTTGTTTTTTCTGTAATGTCCCACATTGCAGATGCATTTCTAACCAATTAGTGTTTCAATGAAATTCTGTATCGGTTTATGGCTGAAGGATGCGTCTGAGAGCCTTGTTTGCGTGGGCATGTTTGCAGTGACGGTGCAGTCAATTCTCTTAGAAAAGTTTTCCACATACTTCTGGAACCTGACTGCAGGGATTTGTCCCCTTTCAGCTACGAGATGATCAGCGAGGTCAACCACTGATGTTAGGCAATAAGACCTGGTTTACAATCAGCCAGTTAAGCTATCCCAGAGGTATGTGACAGGGTTGAAGTCAGGGCTCTGTGAAGGCCATTCAAGTTCTTTTCACTCCAAACTCTGAAAAACATTTCCTAAGAAAACCTCACGTTGTGCATGAGGGCATTGTCAAGTTTAATCAGCAAAGGACTTTCTGCCCAGACAGTTGGAACAAATATGTAAGCACAAGACTGTCTACAGTATCGCTGAAGATTTCACTTAACAGCATGTCAGAAACTTGTGCAACGTCTGTTCCAGGCCAAACATTCACATAATCATATATTACACACATGTAAATATATATATGTTCTATCAAGAGCATGTGGAGGAATGTATAAAGGCATTTTGAAAACTCAAGAGCAGCATCTCAGTGTTTACAAGTACAAAGAACAGAAGACAACAAAAATCAGCTGTGATCACTGTACTGGCATTAAGAGTGGATGTACTCTGCAGTTTGTGTATGATCAGACTGCAATAAGGGCACCAATACCAGCACCATCTGCTGCCATCTACTGGTGGAATGCTACATGAAAAATAAAAAAGGCATACAAATGCTTCACATGGTGAAGTTTATCTATCACTAGTGACTTCCATCATTTTCCATTTAGTATTACCGCATCACATTATTCTCATTATGAGTTTAATTGTATAAATGCCCAGAGCTCTACATGTCTCAGCAGTCTCTAATTCCAGCCACCTGTCAAGCCTCGCATCTGAGATGAGGATAGCTCTCTATGGTGCGTGCAATCGCATCCTTCAGGCTGACCACCGGTGTGTAGCCCAGGTCTTCTTTGGCACGTTTACAGTTGTAGTAGTGGTAGGTTCCAGCCAGAGCCACTCTCATCGGTGTAAAAGTTGGCTTGAAAGATATTAAAGGACTCAATAGTACGGACAGCAGCCAGAGGAGAAGCGCCAGTCCGTACACCAAACTGTAAGGCAGGTGGTAGCGGGGAGGAGGATATCCAAGACCCACCAATACTTGAGACATGAAGTCCCAAAAGCGAATTGGCTCATCGTTGGTTATGTGATATGGCTGGAAGACAAATGGAGAAAAATTAAAGTAAATTAACTGATCGAAAAGCATGTTAACCACTTGGTGCCACCACTGCTGTGGATTTTATTTTAACTAACCTTCCCACATATGGGGGAGTCTGCTCTCAGCCGTTCAGCAGCCAGAATGTGTCCATGAACTACATTCTCCACAAAGGTGAAATCTACCAGATTGGTTCCATCACTGAAGGAGACAAAAACTAATTATTTAACTGAAAACCATCAAGACATCCTTTTTGAAAATAAGTACTAGGATCTAATAATTAGTGGTAGTAGCACGCTTTCATGCTGCTTTCACAGGAATTACAATGTTAAGTAGCTGTTGTCAGATGCTGCTAATCACATGAACAGTTGATCATCAGCAAGTGCGAGCACTGCTATGAAAGCAAACGTTTGAGCGCTTTATTGGCATTGAGCAGTCAGGTGTGTGGTAACACAATGCCACAATTCTCCCAGGAGTGAACAACTCAGCAAATTCACCCCAAGATCAGATTGAGTAATATTCAGAAAACTGCCCAAAAGCTACATCTCAGACTGTACATGTGTAAGTTGGCGTGTTAAAAGTTAAAGTTCATGACAGTACAATTCGTAAAAAACTGATAAAGTACAGCCCATTTGTAAGGACTGCCAGGAGAAAGCCTCTTCTGTCATAAAAGAACACGGCAGCACAGCATAGGTTGGCATAATTACATCTGAACAAACCACAAGAGTTCTCGAACAATTTCCTTTGGATGGACCAAACCAAAGTTGAGATGTTTGACCAGAATACACAGTGCCACATTTGACAAAACCCAAACACATCATATCAGCATAAACATGGTAATGGAGGGAATCATGATTTTGGCTCGTTTTGCAGTCACGGGACCCGGACACCTTGCAGTCAACGAGTCGACCATGAAAAGTATTCTAAAGTCAAATGTAAGAACATTCATCCGACAGCTAAAATTCTGGCAAAACTGGGTTACGCAACAGGACAATGATCCCAAACACAGCTGAATGGCTGAAAAAGAACAGAATCAGTATGTTGCAATGAACCAGTCAAAGTCCACACCCCTTCCTGGCTGAAATACCATAGAAGGCCTTAAACAGAGTTGTGGGTAAACATCAATGAACTGAAGCAATGTTGTAAAAAGGAGTGGGCCAAAATTCCTCCACTTTTATGTGAGAGATTGATAACGTCATACAGAAAGCAATTCAAGTTTGTTTTGTTTTTCACATGGCTGTGTGGGCTGAGCCACTATCTCAAGGCTGCTTTCAGCTTCGTATTTCAGAAACACCAATACTTCACTGATAACTTAACTTGTTTATTAGAAGAGAATGCTAAAATCCTTGATTCAACTCGGTATTGTTTCACCATCAAAACCCACTCAAG